AAGCAAATTCATGAAACCCCGAATTTTCATTCCCTTTTCCCCTTTTATTGACAGAGCCGTGTAATCATCGCAGACGCGCCACTTTTAGGCCCTGAACTCATGTTGGGGCGTTTTTTTGGTGTCAAAATTGACTGGTCGCCTCTTGTGTTACGACCACTACCATCTGAACCATCTCAGGCCTTTTCTTCTTTCTGCCATCCAATCTCTCATTGTATCCATGCTGATAGGAGTGGACCGAACTCTATGATCTTGCCTTTCTGAGCTCGGATTAATCGACTAGGCTGTTCAATAATACAGTCGATCTTCGTCATCTCCTACGTCGCGTAATTCCTCAGGACCCCACGTCGACTCCCAGAGTAAACATCCACCACCACCTAGTTGGAGACATGTCCATCATCAATAACCCCAGAACTTCTAGATGACGAGTATTATTTAGGGTCGACGAGTTTCACAGGGCTCCGACGGTCGTGCTATACAGACAAGATAAGACTTACCATGAGCAGTATGAACAGCCTTTTGGCTATGTTGATGCTGATACACCATTGAATGCCAAGATTTTACTCACGAGGGCTTCTTGTCACCTTGCCCGCAATGATTTGCCTGTTACCAAAGCAGATGTAGTTTCATTCCCGATCATAACTCCACCGCAGCTGCAGTGTAAGTGTCTCCCACTTCTACCTACCTCAAGCTATCTAACAAAATTACAGGACAAATGTTAAAGGAAAGGATAGGTCGCGCAGAGTGGAGGCAGCAATACTTTGTAAGACACCGATCGTGTTCTGCATCATCAAGTTCGGAAACCGAAAATCCCGACCCGGGATTCGATCGCGTCAGGTCAGGTGACGACGCGTTTACCAAACAGGAGCAATCGTTGCCACTGCCGCTTGGCAACATCGAAATTCTAATTCTGACCCGAATTGGATCCAAATCCGACGACCTCTCGGGACACTCTACAACTCTACTGTGCCCTTCAGAGGCATCACTGCCTCCCAGTATTGCTCAATTCTTTCCTACAGCGCTGTCCTGTTCGCTAACCACCACCTCTAGCTAATCCAGCGTTTCGAGCGCTCTGAATGTCCGTGGTCAACGTAAATGGCTGCATTATATCTTCATAATGCCATTTTCTCCCCCGAGCCAGCAGAATTGCCACCCTCACACTTGCGAACAATCTCGACGGCAACGCTGAAGACCATTGCTTCAGACAATTCTCATCCCACGGAACCGCTACTGAATCTATCGTACTCTGGTTCAGCGTATCTCGACCTTCTCGAGCGACAACCAGCTCATCCTCGCGGTCCGAGCACAGGGTGGGATATGGGGCTATCGCTTGATGATGCACCAACGTTAGGGGAACGCAAGGGGTACTGGGAAAAGGCTGTTCGCCGGCGTTTACAAATTCTAAAGCTAACCGTGTCGATCTTCGAAATGGTCATGGGTAGGTCTCAAGTGCCGTCCTGTGACGTCTCGCTAATGTGTTCTAGGTGCCTGGGCCATATACAATACGGTCCGGTATTTTCTAGCATTTGCTGTTTACCAGTCTATCACCGGTCAAGACGTTTCCCTCGCCCTAGGGACCAGTACAGCTGTCTCCGCAACCTTTTTGTTGTGTCGTGTCATCGTATCTTTCTTCCAGACCCAGTTGATACGCGCTCACGTTCATCTGCATTCGATTCTCCTCACACGGACTATATTTCGCTTCCTCGCATCTATATTCTTGTTGGGACCTGCGATCGTCGCGTTTGCATTAACATTCGTTTGGCGAAACATTCCCGAAGAGCCTGAACTAAGCTTGTCACAGCGATGTGGACTGGACCTTGATGTAGTTTGGATCGTTTCATCGTCGAGTGCGACATGTCAGGGCAGAACGCACAATTGGGCGTCCTGGCTAGGCTTGTCTATCCTTCGCATCTTCATTACTTTGGCTATCATTGCAAGTCATTCTCACAGTTGCCGTATTCGCGTACTCATCATCACTGTCTAGATTCCTTATAACTTGTCTTCTTCTGCCTATCGGGTTACTCGCCGCCCCTCCCAAGGAGCCCGCAGACGCATGCGCCGCCGCCACCGCCTCGCTAACCCCGAATCAGTCGATCAATCCATGTCTTCCTCTCCCCTTATGGCCGCCTCCTTTCATACCGCGCCCACCACTCGATCTTCCAATCCACACTTATGCTCTACTTCTACCATCACATCCTCCCCGAAAATGCAGAAATCCTTGCGAAGTTCACGAAATGCCTCGATAAGAAGTGTTCCTGTAACTGATTCCCCTCCATCGGAAGAAGACTCATCCTCCACGGAAACTCATCATCATACATCTATTCCTAGCGGTGAAAAATCTCGTACATCAAGTTCGAGCGCCACCCCTCAAACTCCGACATCTCCCCTTCCTGTAGCTTCAGACAGTGACCGTGATCTCTACAACTTTGTCGACCAATTCCGTTCACTCGTATCCCAAATCAGCCGGGAGACCGATGAAGGTCTAGAATATGCTCGTCCTGATGGGTCCTCGAGTTCTCATTCCGAAAGCATGGCGAGTTCGTACTCGTACTCTGCTGCCATTGGATACGATGAATTTGGAAGGCCCTATCCACCAGATGATCATGTTCGGGTGCTGGGAGGGTACGTACGGCGGATGCCTACGATTGAGAGTATCGGTTCGCGTGAGATGGGTACGACGTCTAGTCTACACACTGTTGAGCGGATGACTTCCATCAGTCGACCGCCAACGCAGAACACGCTCCCAATGTCGAGTGAGCCTCCCAGCCGGCCTGATAGCATTCTTATGAGTGCATGCGGGGAACTTGGAGAGCTTGTTGCCGATCACGTGGATACACGGGGCAGTGCAAGCACTGGCAGGAGCCAGCCCTCAACGACAAGTGCCATGTCGTATTATACTGCGGGGAGTGGGGGTGCAAGTCCTGTGCTGGAGACACACCCAACAATCGTGGAAGGACTGCAATACATTCCAGGGTCTCTTTCTCCACTCTGATTCATCCATTCTTGTTTTCGCTTTTCTTTCGGCAGGGTGATGAGAAACGCACATTGGAGCTTGATCTATCCATAACTTATCATTTACTTTGGCCATAGATTCATTCAAGTCAATACTGTACTTGTACACAACTGGTACCAAATTGTTGTTATACTATTCCGGTGATTTATTTGTACTGGAACGTTTTTGTTAGAATTTGCTGTTGTATTATTCCTCGGCATACTTATCTAAACTCTCGAACGGTTATTGTAGATGCAAAGACCGCTTCAATTTCATTGATCTAAGGGTCCGAATGTCAACGTCCCTGAAGCAAGGGCAGAGCTGCGAGCAAGGGCTCCGGTAAATTCCTCAACGACTTCCCTAGCCATCTCACCTTTTGTAGCCGCAACTGCAGGCTGCCAGTAGCTCACGGCATTCTCGACGTCTGGACTCTGCTCCCTGCCTGCCTGCCTGTTCCTTTTCAACTCCAAAGGTCTTCGAAGGTGGTGACGACGAAAGAGAAATGTATTCGGGTGTGTCACGAAACCAAAAATGTGGGCCAATCCCTTCTGATATATCTCTTGCCTCTCACTCTGGAACCCGTCTTGCAGGGGAGGGGGGGTTTCATTTCCGACCACCGATGTTGGTGTCACGGATTTGAGCCCTCTTCTTCTTCTTCTACCTCCCACGGAACTATATCATGTCAATTCCCGTAAAGGCAAAGGCACGATGCGATCCCTTTTCCTTTTTGGCCTTCTTCCTTGAATAGCGCGGGATCTTCTGGTCCAGCGGCTGGTTAAAAACTTCGCTTGAGCCTCCTGTGCCCCATTTACGAACTTTTCCCCCTCGCCACGCATCTGACGTTCCCTTCTGTTATTCACGAAGGGGTTTCGAATTTCTCTATTTGATACCCGCAGTAGGTGCGTTTACTTACCGTACCCGCCAAGTTCCTATTGGCCTCGGCAATGTCCAGTGCTGGTGGAAACTCTTTATGGTTACGCCTTATCCGACGTGAGAGTTCGTGGGTTGTTTCCGGTTGGTACCCTCCTGGCAGTGGCACCATGTCGGCTTACCGTTCGGTCTGTTCCTGATAAGCACCATGCAAACCTATCCCCCCCTCCGCGTGTAACGACATGGGAATCGCTCGCTGATTGGGCTGAGGAGAGAAAGGCTTGAACCGATCGATAATACTTCATGTGAGGTGGTGGGATACGGCACGTATTGATCTGGTTGTGGGCCGATTTTTCGGATGCAACGAGTGTCGAGCAAGCAGCTGGTCGCCTCGCGTGCATCGCATAGTAATGGAACGACTAGGTCACTCAACGACGCCCTTAATATTTTATATTAGCACTCAATATTAAATTTCTGGGATAGTGTATACCAAAAGAAAATTTCTTCGGCAGCATTAATCACTTCTTCACAGGCTGTTACCCATTCCGCCTGCAGAATAGATGTCCACATGTGGCTTAACATTAAGGCAGACTTCCTTGAGTTCTTCATCATCCTTCCGTGCGTGAGTCGGAGTCGGTCCGTGTTCTGATTGTTCACATCCAGAGTCGCTTCCGAGGAAACCAAATCCGCTGCGTTTTCGCATACATACTTCGGTAGTTGTTCCGGGGTTCAATTTTCCTTGAACTAATCTCGGAAACTGGGACGATCAGATTTATGTAAGCTGATATAGTAACTAGTTCATACTATCATACTATCGGGCTGTAAAGGGCAAAGCTCGAAGCTTAAACGGAGCATATCGCAAGAAGAAAAATCCGGATGGACATACCGGTTTACGGTGTTTCTCATGTATTTCTTGACATCACTCAACACAACACCTGTTGTGATATGTTGGCTACTGCTGCCAGTGTTGGCTTTGACCTTTTTAGTCGCTGGATACAGTATGATTGCCGTTGGTATCACTGGTTACCGGACAAACGATCGCTCATTTATCCATGGCCCCCCATTGGCTCTGGATTTCCATTTCCTTGAGCACAAGTTATTTGTAGAGCGGAAGACGAAAAAGACGAAAAAGTGTAACCGATACCGACGGTGAGGCTCGAACTCACAACCTTCGCCTTTATGACGCGGAAGTAGGAAAGCGACGCGCTACCATTACGCCACGACGGCTTAATATGATCGCCAAGTTCATTTCTTAGGTCATACTCTAGATCACATAGTGTGATCGGACAGGCCCATCGACCGGTACCTTTGACAAATTGACTATGACTCCCTTCCGACCCATCGATGTGACATGGTATCAAATTTGGTATTTTCCTTTTATTCCCCTCGCGTAGATCTCGGAGACGATGAGTAAATTATTGATCATGCCAGCGCCATCCATTAATGTGCTGTATACAGAACAGGTTCAAATATACAACACCCAAGATCATTACTACTTGCGGGAACTTATCGTTCAGCTTGGCCGCACACCGTCTATATCGGATACCGGCCTTTTAATGATCGGGTCGCTCCAGACTTCCGCTTCCCTTGGGCCTTTGCTGAAAAACGGAGCTCCTGGCGGATATACAGAACTTGATCCACCAATTCAGCGCAAAACATAAAAATGAAACGCCACTTCGTCTAGATCTGCCCTGAGTTACAGAACCCCCTCCCCCTCCCCCTCCCCGCTCCAGTGATATCGGCGCCATCAAAGTCTCTCTGGTTAAGGGGATTTCTTTCCAGACCTGTGTGGATATACATCAGGGCATGCTGGCTGACGAAGATTCTAGGGTACGTTGAATCTTGAATTACATGTCACAAGGTAGTCCACCTGGTCAGTTCTTTGATGGTCCATGATGGGCAGAAGCGTATCGTATCATGAACTCGTGTTGTATGTAGGTGGGGATCGAGCTTCTGGCTTAGTCTATTGGGAATCCTTCTCGTAAAGGACCTTACACAAAAGCTTTAAATATCCTGCAGTGCAGACAAGGTCAGTTCCATTGGGCTACGAACGTTCAAATTGACCGCCGGAAATGGACGGAACTTGGAAGTATTTTTACCCTTCACGATGGAGGCTAATGACCCATCTCATGTATCAGAGAGTCAGTCCTAGTCAGACCAGAAGATATGGAGGGCCGGGTATCACAGGATGAAAGGCCGGTGAGGTGTAATAGCCGTAGGAAGAGAAGCAAGAAGATCCCAGTACAATCGGAGGAGCCGAAGACGAACGGGCATATATGTATTCGAATGATAATTTTGGCGTTACAGCAGGGGTAACATAATGGGCTTATGACATCCCTGGATACGTAGCACAAGACCTTCTGTAGCTGATGATTGGCAAGGGCTGATTCCTTGATTCAATCCGATGTCTGTGGGGAAACTTGGCAGCATCAACCGTAGCCGAAGCGGAAGCTCTCAGCAGAGATGAACCTGAGTAGCGGATTAGGTAATTTGTTTTTCATATTAGGAATGCTCAATTGGATCTTGGATACCCGCTTCTTCCTTGCGATCATCATTGCCAGTCCCTTATAAGTATTCGACCAGCTGTACCCTTTCTTGCCCTTGCCTTGCTCCACCATGTCCGCCTCCTACCACCTTCGTCCTGTCGATGACTCACCTGCATCGTCTGCATCTACTTCTCCTACTGCCGAGTCTTCCCGCTCCATACGTTCCGGCCTTTTGCTTCCGTCACCGCCAACATCAGCTTCCGTTTCCAGTCGATCGCGTCGTCCTCTTTCCCCCTCCTCATTACGCGGTATATCTTTCGTTTAATTTATCTCAATGCAGTCTACTGATGATTATTCCTTTCTAGATGTAGATCTCACTCACCATCCAGACGCGAATCCTCGTAAATATCCTGCACCCCCTACAGGTCATGATTTAATGGCAATGTTCCCCCCTGCACCACCATCTGTGATTTCACACCGTTCGGAGCCAACTAGTGGCTACTTTCAGCGTCAGGAACGGGCTTTCTTTGCTCAGGCAGGAGCTGAAATCGTCCGTGTGCATGTAGAGGTCGATATTCCCTCTCACGCAACAACCATGCGCGACGACAAGTCTCGCACAGCGGCACGGGACCCAGGTGGCCCTAGGTCTTGGCCGCCTTCAGGGCACTCGCCCTCCCTGGGGGTCATCGGCGGCCCGCCTCATCCAAATCATTCGCCGTCATCGTCAGCTGCATATCCCCCATCTTCCAGATCATCTCAGCGTAGCGGCCCGGTGCCCGTAAATCCTTCACCCCTGTTCCCACATACATCTTCGACACCGAAGATACATCACACTGATCCCACCCTTCCTGGCGCCCAGACAAAGGTCGAGTTTCCGGATGAAGGTGGTGATCCCGACGAATCATGGAAGCGACCAATGCCGTACGCTGAGCGACGGCGAGCAGGGAAACACACTAGACGGGTCATTGTACGGAATTGATGTGTTTTACTTCCATCATCATCGTGGGCCATTAATATCGGCGTTTTTGTCAAAGCTCGACTAAGACCACACTCCTGATCCTTATTCCTTCTCTTTTTTAATGGATTAGTTCCATTATGAGTGAGCATCCCTTCATTCATGTATTTCATGCCCGATATGACACACCTTGCAATGACGCCCAGCTATTTCTATCTACTTGCTGTCCCAACTTGCTAATACCTATCCGTTATCGCTAGTAATACGATTTTGCTATCCATATCTCCTCCCCCATTTGTCGCACCGCTCGTAGTTATAGTATTTGTATACCCACGCTATATCATATATTTAACGCATCCATTCATCCGACTGTCGAGAAGACGCCAGGGACTCGGGCTATCCATCAGATGCCACTGTCATTTGATCGTTGGACGCAAGATCATGATCGAAACCCTTTTCGGCCGCGCCTTTTGCGGTCAAGTTTGCGGGGCAAAGTTACCGGAAAGACCCGCATAGAAGATCTCATTGAGACGACGAAAATATCAATTCAATGTTTCCGGCAGTCGGTGCCTGTTGACGGACTCACAAAACTGATAACACTCGTAGAGGGTCACACTTGACGGGGGAGATTAATATCATACCTCGTTGAGCACGTTTGTGACAGGCTTGCGTCGATCCGATTCGATCCACCCAAATCACGCAGGACATGCTGATTTAGTACCGCTCTTGCTTGGAAAGTCATTTTTATTCTAAAGCCTCAATGCATAGTCATGTTAAGCAATGAACATATAATACCGCGCCATGAGGCGAAGTTGTCTTCTTCCGATGGCCGAATTCCACAAGTGATCCACCCGCCACAATGCACCCATGAGTTACCGGGTTCGCTAATGTCCAGGTTTGACGGATTCTGTTCAACAACTCGAGTTCCCCTGTTCTTCACTTTCCCATTCCCAATACCCGGTATTCCCGTTCCCTTTCACATCGCTCCCGCCAATTCGCCGGCATCTAGGGGATACCGTATACAATGAACGAATACCTTCTTTTACCCCGGATCTATCTGGCCCTAGCAACTCATCAGCCACGCGGCTACAACGCTTGAAAGAACTTCCCGTCTTTACAGTAATCTGCTGCCCGAGGTTTGACTGGCAGTTTCGGGAAACTAAAAAAAAATTCTAGAAGGGTTGGCAAATCCCACGGAACAAGCGGATGCAATAAAGTGCAGTCCGAGGTTTGACTAGCTATTAACAGCCGTCCATTTGAATTCGAGGGTGAGGAGACGTAGCTTCGCGTAGCTCAAGGCAATCCAGTCCGTTGATCGCGTGCTGGAAAGACTCCTTGAACGAAGATACAATGGTTAAAAGGGACACGCGTGGGTGCACATCTCGAAGAGAAGGCATGAGCCTGGGGATCTGTATCATGTGTTTGTTATTCCAGAGCGGGACAGGAAGCCTGAGTCGCAACTGTATAATAGTAAGTAGTATAGCAGACAAGTCTGGACCTGGGGAAAATGATAGACAGACGGTGTGAGCGACTTCAGATCGGGGATTTTCGACGCGTGGCGGATGTGGATATAGCTGCGGAGCGCTTACGGCGTGAGAGGGTGACTGGATTCGGAACCGGGTCGTGAGGGGGTATCGCGTCGTGGCCTCTACATGTGTTTTACCCCAGTAAGCTATGAAGACAGCCGTCGGGAACTTGACGCAACGAATTATACACTGTCTGTCAGATGTAGGGTAGACGAGATCCTATCAGTAAACCAATGCCAACTCCCTGGCAGGTAAAATAGTGTCTCGATCTCACCTCAATGATAGCCGATAAAAGGGCTGACGTAGGTGTCGCTTCTATCACATAGGGTGCCCAGGGTTAGAAGGGTACTAGTGCAGACGTCTGGTAGTGTGTGACCCTCGTTTTTGATTGGACGATATATGTATGGATTCGACGTGGGGAACGCTGAAGCTAGTGGCAAGTGCCTAAGTTACTGGACAAGAAGTCGCAGGGCCATAGGGTGCACTCTCAAGAAGACCTGTAGTGTCATTGAGGATCTATACGGAGACAGAAGATGATCTCGTATGATGGCATGCAGGTCCGCAGCGTGCAACACGATCGCGTATAATTAACGACACTGTCAAACGTTGAGAAGGGCCGGACCGAGGCTACAACGGCAAGTAAGTATCATGGAGATGTGTTCCGTGCCCAAAGGGGGATCCACTGGTGTCGGACTGAGAGAATTGATGGATTAAGTACAAGGGCCGGGTTGGAAGGACAGAAAGAATACGTGGCATGACGACGAGCATCATCTGTCAAACATGCACTTGTGCGAAATGAAGGCTCGATGAAACTGCCACGATAGTGACATATTGAACGTGTCGACGTCAAAGGGCCAGCAGCCAGCACATCGGCAACGTGTTCGTAGTGATGATGATCAGTGATCAGTAAAATGCAGTGTGCCAGCGTCGGACCAAATCGCTTTGTTGGATAGATCCAATCAGCAAAACAACATACAGGGCCACTAGGTAGATGTATACCGAAGACTGGCAGCCTGGAAACAGGTGGAAACAGAGTAATGCAATTTGACGACGGAAGGCCGTACAGAACAGACGTCGCGAAATGAAAGTCGGACCTCGTGTTCACCGGGCGAGGTAAAGCGTTTCCTGACGTGTCGGAAATCCATCATAGAGGTGCGACCAAGAGAGTCTAAGGATTAATTTGACGACGGCGCTACTTGCCTCGGGTGCTCTATCATAGAGCCACACGAGCAATAGTAAGCCCCCCCCCCCCCCCCTCCC